CATTTATGTGATATAATTGTGAGAAACATTTAAGATATACAATTTATAAGGTTCAGTTATTCAGTATTTATTTGGTTTTGGGTTAGTAAGTGATCTTTGAGAAGAGACTTGAATTTATAAACAGGTAGTGTTTCTTTTATATTTACAGGTAATGAATTCCAGATTTTAGGGCCTTTTATGTGCATTGAGTTTTTGCATAGCGTGAGATGGACACGAGGAACATCAAAGAGTGATCTGTGCCTTGTGTTATGGTCATGTGTTCTGTTGAGGTTGGCAAGGAGATGTTTGAGGGGAGGGTTAATATCAGAGTTAAGTGTTCTATGTATGTAATAGGTGCAGTAATAAGTATGGATGTTTTGTATGGTGAGTAGGTTTAGTGTATTGAATATTGGTGGAGTGTGCTGCCTGTAGTGAGAATTTGTTATCATTCTAACTGCAGCCTTTTGTTGGGTAATTAGTGGTCTGAGATGGTTAATTGTTGTTGAGCCCCATGCACAAATTCCATAGGTGAGATAGGGGTAAATAAGAGAGTGATATAGGGCCAGGAGGGCTGACTGTGGAGCATAGTACCATATCTTCGACAGTATGCCTACAGTCTTGGAAATTTTCTTAGAAATTTGTTGTATATGTGTATGAAATTTGAGTCTATTATCAAGGTGGATTCTTAAGAATTTTCCCTCTGTTAGCTTTGTGATAGGTGGTAAGTGTGCACTACTTAAAACAAATTCTGCAGTACGTAATGCATAATGAGATAAAAAAAACTGCGACCGTAATTTTGGATTAAAACAGCAACTTTGCTGAGACCAGGCCTCGTGGTGCATAAGGTTCTGATCAACCAGGCTGTTACTGCCGGCTGCACGCAAACTGACATGTGAACCACAGCCCGGTTGGTCAGGTACTGACTTTACGTGCCTGTCCAGTGCCTTCTTGAAGACAGCCAGGGGTCTATTGGTAATCCCCCTTATGTATGCTGGGAGGCAGTTGAACAGTCTTGGGCCCTGGACACTTGTCTCTCAGTGTACTCGTGGCGCCGCTGCTTTTCATCGGGGGAATGTTGCATCTCTTACTGAGTCTTTTGCTTTCACAGGGAGTGATTTTCATGTGCAGGTTTGGTAACAATCCCTCCAGGACCTTCCAAGTGTATGTTATCATGTATCTCTCCCACCTGCTTTCCAGGGAATACAGATCAAGGACCTTCAACCTTTCCCAGTAATTTAGGTACCTTATCGTACTTACGTGTGCTGTGAAAGTTCTTTGTATGCTCTCCAGGTCTGCAGTGTCACCAGCCTTGAAGGGGGCTGTTAGTGCACAGCAGTATTCTAGCCTAGAGAGAACAAGCGATTTGAAGAGTGTTATCATGGGCTTGGTGTCCCTAGTTTTGAAGGTTCTTGTTGTCCATCCCATCATTTTCTTAACTGATGAGGTAGATACATTGTTGTGGTCTTCGAAGGCAAGATCCTCTGAAATTATCACTCCCAGGTCCTTCACATTTCTTTTTTGCTCTATTGTATGGTTAGAATTTGTTGTATACCCTGATACATTTTTAATTTCCTTAAGTTTTCCGTATCCGAGTGGTTGAAATTTCTCCTTGTTGAACTTCATGTTGTTTTGAGTGGCCAATTTGAACATTTGGTTGATGTCCGCTTGGAGTCTTGCAGTGTCTTCGATGGAGGTCACTGGCATGGCAATCCATGTGTCAAAAAAGCTTTTCAAGTACTGTCACCAATTATTGCAACACTCTTTAACCCTTTCAGGGTTGGTGCCGTACTAGTACGTAGAAATTCTAGCGCCCTCAAATCTAGTGAGAGAAAGCTGGTAGGCCTACATATGAAACAATGGGTCTATGTGGTCAGTGTGCACAGTATAAAAAAAATTCCTGCAGCACACAGTGCATAATGAGAGAAAAAAAACTCCGACCGTGTTTTTTGTTTAAAACAGTGACTTTGCAGTGTATTTTCGTATGATATTTATGGCTGTATTCTAGTTTTCCTGGTCTCATTTTATAGAATGGAAGACATATTATGGAAATTGAGATGATTTTGATTGGCTTCACAATGAAAAGTACCTTGAAATTGAGCTCAAAGTAGCAGAAATGTTCGATTTTTGCCAAAGCTCAAAAGTAAATATAGTGGACCCCCGCATAACGATATTAATCCGTTCCTGAGAGCTCAGTGTTACGCGAAATTATCGTTATGCGAATGAATTTTCCCCATAAGAAATAATGGAAATCAAATTAATCCGTGCAAGACACCCAAATGAATTTTCCCCATAAGAAATAATGGAAATCAAATTAATCCGTGCAAGACACCCAAAAGTATGAAAAAAAAATTTTTACCACTTGAAATATACATTTTCCTACACACAAAGAGAAGGATACATGCATAATAGTAGAGTAGTACATGCACAATATATATTGTGCATGTACTACTCTAAATGAAGAATAAATGACACTTACCTTTATTGAAGATGCAGCAATGACTGATGAGACACTGTGTCCTGGGAGTGCCTTTTCCTCCTGAGTACTGTAGGTCTTGTTTGGCATTTTCTTCCAGAACATGCCTTATCACACTGCGTATGCCACTACGATTCTTAAATCTCTCAAACCAACCTTTGCTGGCTTTAAATTCACCAATATGAGCACTAGTTCCAGGCATTTTTCCCTGTTCGCCTGGGTGTTAGTGGACTGGTGTGGGTTGCATCCTGGGAGACAAGATTAAGGACCCCAATGGAAATAAGTTAGACAGTCTTTGATGACACTGACTTTTTTGGGTTATCCTGGGTGGCTAACCCTCTGGGGTTAATTGTTTCTTGGTATTCTTAATAAACCACACCAACAACGGTGCTACAACAGCAGCAGCAGCAGCTGACAGTGCTACAGCAGCAGCAGATGGTGCTTCAACAGCAGCAGACGGTACTACAGCAGCAGCAGCAGCTGACGGTGGTACAGCAGCAGCAGCAGCTGATGGTGCTACAACAGCAGCAGCAGCTGACAGTGCAGCAGCAGCAGCTGACAGTGCTACAGCAGCAGCAGCAGCAGCAGCAGCAGCTGACAGTGCTACAGCAGCAGCTGACGGTACTACAGCAGCAGCAGACGGTGGTACAGCAGCAGCAGCAGCAGCTGACAGTGCTACAGCAGCAGCAGCAGCTGACAGTGCAGCAGCAGCAGCTGACAGTGCAGCAGCAGCAGCAGCTGACAGTGCTACAGCAGCAGCAGCAGCTGACAGTGCTACAGCAGCAGCTGATAGTGCTACAGCAGCAGCAGACGGTGCTACAGCAGCAGCAGATGGTACTACAGCAGCAGCAGCAGCTGACGGTGGTACAGCAGCAGCAACAGCTGACGGTGCTACAGCAGCAGCAGCAGCTGACAGTGCTACAGCAGCAGCAGCATCAGCAGTTGACCATGGTACCACAGTATTTCGATAATATTTCTCACCCTTTTTACCACAGGGTTGGCACTAGAAGCTTTCTTGGGGCCCATGGTCACTTATTTTGCAGATAAAATCACCAAAAACACTGTAATAATACGAAACGTTCCGATTGTATGCTTGGATGTTACTGTGGAGGCTGGCTTGTAAACAATGCCACCGGCGGAACATGTGAGGCAGGCTCAGGCCGCACATTAGACGCATCTCGGACGAATAGCGTTGAGCGGGTTTTTTAGCGGTATGCGAGGCAAAATCTTAGCGATAAAATGTATAGGTATGCGGATTTAACGTTATGTGATGCCAACGGTATGTGGGGGGTCCACTGTAAATCATGCCATGCATCCCATACACGTCAACTGGTGAGTCTAATATTCTTTCACAAGTGCGCTGATATTATTTATACCATTTCTACACCATTTCTACACTAATGCAGTAGTCTGCATAACAATAAATCTTCTATTTTTTGTGAGAATAAAAATTCCAAGTGGAAAGCAAAAGAAATATAACAGAGGCCTGAGGACGTGACTAATGAACAGAGGAAATGTAATTTTAGTGCCAGGAATGTCTGTCTTGTTTATTCTGGACCCTATTTGGAAATTGGCATCTTTTGAAATTTGTGTGAAATTGGCAAAATTACCAATTTCTGACTATTAGATAGTTGAAATTGGTAAATGGGTAGTTTCTAGCGAAATAGGTATGGTTTTTGCCGACTAGTACATTGGAATTGGCCGAAAATAGGGCTCAAAGTGGGCGAAATCGCCGATGTGTGAACATCGTCGAGACCGCTAACTTTGCGAGAGCATAATTCCGTAAATTTTCCGTCAAATTTCATACTTTTGGTGTCATTTTGACCAGGAAAAGATTCTCTATCATTTCTTAAGAAAAAATAATTTTTTTTTTTTTTTCAAAAATTTCTGACCCTGAGAACAAGTTTAGGAGAGGGCCTGCCGACCCTGAAAGGGTTAACGAATCCATCGAATCCTCCACCTTCCCATCAATTCTCAAAATAGCAAGGGTCACCCCGATCCACAAAGGAGGAGATCAAATGGACTTGAATAAGTATAGACCAATATCTAACTTACCTCTGCTCTCTAAAATCTTAGAAAAATTAATTCACAGGCAGATATATTCCTACCTCGTCTCTCAATACATACTTAACCCATCTCAGTTTGGATTCAGGACTAATGAAAACACTAATGATGCTATTATACACATGCTAGAACTAATATACACTGCTCTCGATATCCGGGGGTCCACTGTACTTGCAATTAGGCCATCATAGGATCATTGATGGGCTAAGGCTGTTGAAAAACAACAGAGCTTGTATGCTGCTGCTACTGCCGCTGATGTGAGTTAAGGGGTTAAGGAAACACATTTTTCAGGTGGTGGGAAAGTGGGATAGATACTTTCCTTCATAAGTAATCCTGGCCTCCCCATTTTCTATAATTAACCAAAAATACAAACAAAATGCTTTTCATCTCCATGCTTTTCTTTCAGGAAATGCCTAATATTTTATTTTAAAAACTAATTTGATATAGATTTCACTACTAATGATAATTTTTTTCCTTGTTATAGGCGAAGCTGCTGTTAATGTTTTGTTGTCTCTGGAGGAAACGTATGCCGACATCGTGCCTGTGAGTCTGTCTACAAATAGAATGTCAGCATTTGTCTCCATAATGCGTGGATGTGACAATATGTGTACATACTGTATTGTGCCTTTTACTCGAGGTCGAGAACGTTCGAGAAATATTGAATCAATTCTCGAGGAAGTGCATTACTTATCAGATCAAGGAATAAAAGAGATAACTCTCTTAGGTCAGAATGTGAACAGTTACCGAGATACATCACATGTGCACCATGCAGGTCTTTCAGTTCATGATGCTGGAGACACTCATTTGGTTAAGGGATTCAAAACCATATACAAACAGAAGAAGGGAGGACTGAGGTTTGCGCACCTCCTGGACAAAGTTTCTCAAGTTGATCCTGAAATGCGTATTAGATTTACCTCTCCACACCCTAAAGACTTCCCAGATGAAGTGTTATACTTGGTTAAGGAGAGAGAGAACATTTGTAAACACATTCACTTGCCAGCTCAGTGTGGTAGTACAAGAATCTTGCAACTCATGCGAAGAGGATATACTAGAGAAGCTTATTGTGAGTTAGTAAGTATAATGCATATACAGTATTTTAATGATTACCATATATACTTGAATATTTGTCAGGGTTGTAAGACCAATTTTGGGGGCAAAAATAAAAATGGGAAGTCGATTATTATTTATACGTGATAGTACTTATGAAGGGTTGAAATCCATAAATTGCAATCTTTATACTGAAGAATATAGGAGCAGAGTAACAGTAGGCCTCCCAGCCGTCACTTAGTTCACTCATCAACAGTCACTCCAAACAATTGTTTTAACCCTTTGACTGTTTATGCTGTATATATACTTCTTATGCGCCACTGTATTTATTTATTATTAACAATTTGAGCATACATACAGAGGTACAAAAAAATACAGATAAGAGCAGCATGCCAAAGCCACTTATACTATGCATAGCATTTCGGGCTGGCTTAAAATTAACTAAGCAATGATGAAATCAGTGATAATACATTATTGTAAACAGATAACTATAAAGCACAAATGAGTATTACAAAGACAGGTCATATGGTTGCATGCATTGTTGTACATTCAGTCGTATGGAGTATTCTGTTAGGTAGTGTATTTAAAAAATAATAAAGTTAGATTGGGTTTTAGGTTTAACATTTATGTGATATAATTGTGAGAAACATTTAAGATATACAATTTATAAGGTTCAGTTATTCAGTATTTATTTGGTTTTGGGTGAGTAAGTGATCTTTGAGAAGAGACTTGAATTTATAAACAGGTAGTGTTTCTTTTATATTTACAGGTAATGAATTCCAGATTTTAGGGCCTTTTATGTGCATTGAGTTTTTGCATAGTGTGAGATGGACACGAGGAACATCAAAGAGTGATCTGTGCCTTGTGTTATGGTCATGTGTTCTGTTGAGGTTGGCAAGGAGATGTTTGAGGGAAGGGTTAATATCAGAGTTAAGTGTTCTATGTATGTAATAGGTGCAGTAATAAGTATGGATGTTTTGTATGGTGAGTAGGTTTAGTGTATTGAATATTGGTGGAGTGTGCTGCCTGTAGTGAGAATTTGTTATCATTCTAACTGCAGCCTTTTGTTGGGTAATTAGTGGTCTGACATGGTTAATTGTTGTTGAGCCCCATGCACAAATTCCATAGATGAGATAGGGGTAAATAAGAGAGTGATATAGGGCCAGGAGGGCTGACTGTGGAACATAGTACCGTATCTTCGATAGTATGCCTACAGTCTTGGAAATTTTCTTAGAAATTTGTTGTATATGTGTATGAAATATGAGTCTATTATCAAGGTGGATTCCTAAGAATTTTCCCTCTGTTAGCTTTGTGATAGGTGATCCGTTTATCATTATGTTAAGAGGGACATCTGTAGCTCTGTTACCAAACTGAATGAAGTAGGTTTTGTCAATGTTTAGTGTAAGTTTGTTAGTCCTCATCCAGGTAGATATTTTCTGTAATTCGGTATTTACAGTATTGGCTAGCGTGACTGGGCTCGGGTGAGAGAAAACGTATGTAGTGTCATCTGCAAATAGTGTGGGTTTGAGTAATTGCGAAGCATTTGGAAGGTCATTTATGTATAGGAGAAAGAGAAGAGGGCCAAGGACACTTCCCTGTGGGACACCAACTGTAATTGGTTGCGCAGAAGAGTTTGCCCCATTTGCGTACACATATTGGCTTCTGTTGCTGAGGTATGACTTGAGGTAGTTGAGGGAGTGCCCTCTTATACCATAGTGTGCCAATTTTACGTGGAGCAAGTCATGGTCAACTGTATCAAAAGCTTTACGTAAGTCAATGAAGATCCCAGTGGGACTTCTTTTTTCTCTATTGCAGTGTATATATGTTCTAGCATGTGTATAATAGCATCATTAGTATTTTTATTAGGCCTGAATCCAAATTGGCAGGGGTTAAGTATGTTTTGGGAGATAAGGTAGGAGTAGATTCGTTTATGAATTAATTTTTCGAAGATTTTTGAGAGAGGGTGTAAGTTGGATATTGGCCTATAGTTATTCAACTCTGTTTGGTCTCCTCCTTTGTGGATCGGGGTGACCCTTGCTATTTTGAGTACTGTAGGGAAGGTGGAGGATTCTATGGATTTGTTAAAGAGTGTTGCAATGATTGGTGATAGCACTTGTGACAGTTTTTTGTATATAAAGGGTGGTAAGGTATTTAAATCTCCTGCCTTGTTTTTTAGTGCGTTGATAATAAGGGAGACTTCGTATGGGTTAGTCGGAGCTAGGAACAGTGTGTTCGGGTAGTTGCCGGTGAGGTAGTCATTTGGTGGGGTATCTGAGCTTGGGATTTTATTGGCAAGGTTTTGTCCTATAGTGGAGAAGAAATCATTGAGTCTGTTTGCTGTTTCTGTTGGTGGGAGTTGGGGTTCATCTGATTTTGCTAATTTTATTTCGCTATTTCGTGATATCTTTTTTGTTCCCAGAATTTCTGATAGGGTTTTCCAGGTCTTTTTTATATCACCTTTTAAGTTGGATAATCTGTTCTCATAATACAATTTTTTTGCCCTTCTTATCAGGCTGGTTAGGATTGACGAGTAACGTTTTGTTTGGTCTCTGGTTATGTGACCCATTCTGTACTGCAAATTACATGGTTGTACAGAGGAATATAATAGTAGGGCGTACATGCCAAAAGCCCCTTTGTATGCAGAGCATTTCGGGCAAACCTAAAGATTAGCTTAAGAATAGGAAGGCAATAATACATAGTTCATATGGTCATTAGCTGAGTTACAGTGAGTACAGGAGAACTGAATATTCTATCAGGTTGCTACATGGTTTTGATAAGCCTGCTTCACAACTGTCAGGTGATAGCATTGTTCTCCACATGCCCTGCCTGCTTCACACCTGTCAGGTGATAGCATTGTTCTCCACATGCCCTGCCTGCTTCACACCTGTCAGGTGTTGGATGAATCTTATTGTGGCTAGCTGGTCTAGTGGCTAACGCGACGGGCTGGAGTTTTGAGACTCTCTGACCGCGGGTTCAATCCCGGCCGGGGTATGGTTTGTTTGCAATCGTGTCATTACGATTTCGTGAGTCAGGTGACAGCATTGTTCTCCACATGCCCTGCCTGCTTCACAACTGTCCTTCTCTTCTATATGACCCATATTTTTCTTCCTCTGGTAATCAAAAACTTCTTCTCCTGGTAATCAAAAACTTCTTCTCCTAGTAATCAAAACTTATTATAATAAAAGTTTCCAAATGTTGCACTTGCCTAATTGATACATGGACCAGTAGGTTTACTGTGGTGTTCTGACCTTACTTAGAGAAGCACTGGTTTGACAATTTTGTTGTATATACTGTAAGTGGAAAGAGAAGAGTAGAACCTGTCGCCATGGACTTAGTATATTGCTCCTTTGTTCTTGTGTCAGAAAACAATGGTTTGGTAGCATTTGTCAGTGAGTTGGAATAATGGGAATAAGTTGGACCTACCTAGCACTGTTGTTTATTAATTGAAAGGATGCCTTTGTTTTGCGTAAGACAAACCATGCTGCTCACCTGACCTCAGTATAGTGACTCTGACACAACATCAGCCCAATTAGAGATGATATTTATTTTAGTTTTCTCTATACAGTGGAACCCTGGTTTTCATCCTTAATCCATTACAGAAGGTTGGTCGAAATCCAAAATGGACAAAAACCAAAGTAATATTTCCCATAAGAAATACTGTAAATAGATTTAATCCATTCCAGCCACCCAAAAATATTAACAAAAAATACATTTTATAGAGAATAAGTATAGTTTTACATACAGAAAACAATGAGAAATAAATATAAATGACTAATTTTAATGGATAAATGAACATTTAAATCACTATTACATACCTTTATTGAAGACTCTTCTTGGCATATGGAAGAAGGGGAGGAGGGGAGAGGGAGGAGAGGTTATTGTTTGGAAGGAAAATCCCCCTCCATGAGGACTTAAGGTATCAAAGCCCTATCCAGGGTTACTTCCCTTCAACAACAACTTCTGCACATCTTTGATTGTTTGTGATCTCAGATTTGTTAGCATATTTACCCCTTTTGCAACATCAGCTTCCTTGATTTCTACTTTCTTCACAAGGATAGAACTGACTGTTGATTTTGACTTGCCATACATCCTGGTGAGCTCAGCCACACGTACACCACTTTCTAATTTTGCAACAAGCTCTTTCTTGAATTCTATCATGTTTCTCACCTTCTTTACCAAAGGGCTAGCACTAGGAATTTTCTTTGGCCCCATGGTGGCTTATTTTGCAGTTGCATTCAAGCACAAAAAAAATGGATTTTTACAAAATGTTTCTGGTGAACGTGCAGAGCATTGCTCACTGAACAAGTGACAGAGGCAGACTGAGTCACATATGTGTGAGTGGCTGCGTACCGGGTGGGCGGATGCGTCTGATACAGATGATTTCTGAGCGGAAGTATGAAACCCGGGGTAAAATTTCACCCCAAAAAAAAGTGGTTGAAATCCGAATTGAACGATATCCGCACTGGATGAAATCCAGGGTTCCACTGTATATTTGTTAGCCTAAATTTAGTTAAACTGAGCATTGTTAACCTAAATTTAGTTAAACTGAGTATAATATTGATGTATGTTTTGATGAAATGAGTCTTGAGTTTGAATACGAACACCTAGTACAGTACAGGTCAACCATCAATGATCCAGCAATCACTAATCCGGTTCCATCACTAATTTCGGCTAGTGTAATTTCAAATTTCCTGGGTCGCCACACCTATCTGCTGCTACTTGTTGGTGTCACCTGGAAACACAGGCAAGCCATTCCAATTTGTTTTTCTGACTTTGCGGTGTATTTTCATATGGTTTTTATGGCTGTATTCTCTGTTTTTTTGGTCTCATTTGATACAATGGAAGACATATTCCAGAAATAGAGATAATTTTGATTGGTTTCAGGATGAAAAGTACCTTGAAACTGAGCTCAAAGTAGCAGAAATGCTTGAGTTTTGTGATGTTCAAAAGTAAACAAATCACATCATATATCCAATGTGTCCAACTGGCTAGTCTTAATATGTGATAACAAATGGGTTGACATT